TCAAGACACAGAATCTGTGGGTGAGGTGTTTTAAAAGGTTTTATATAATATCTCTGCATGATTTCGTCCAAACTTATCAATTGAGGGGTCTACACCAACTAATTTTTCGATTTAATAACGTGACTTTTTTTCTTCTAAAGGTGACAAAACTGTTTCTCGGATGATGATGCCTCCCAATCAGGGAAGGAATTCGTCCACTGCCTACCGCAAGACGTTTGATGCTCCAATCATGCCAGCTGTCAACAAGAAGAATGTCGGGAACGATGACGATCATTTTTACACGGCAAGGGCGAACTACGTGTGGGAATTCGCGTCTATGGCAGGAGCAGAGGTGCTGGCCATGGACAATAAGGACAAGATAAAGGTCGGTCGTACAACGCTTGCTGTGGACCGAAGGACGAGGAATAAGCGGCTTTTCCCCGAAGTACTTGCTGACGCCCTGCAGGTACTTGCGTCTCAGAACAACAGCGAGCCCAACTACGACAACAGACGAGCACGGCAGGGAACACTACGCGTAAGTCTAAGTCTTTAAAACGTCGGTGAAGGGCAAAACCTTATTTGAGTCTGAATACCAGTTTACCAGTTTGCGGAAATATCACATGCATGGCAGGCCCCTATTTACGGATCAGAAGTTTTTACGCAGACATGCTAATAAAATGCTGAAATAATTAAAAGTGGTTTGAAGTCTCTGAAAAAAATCCATGAAAATTTATCCCTGCAAAATATATTCCATACTATACTACAGTGTAATATATTTCAATAAAACTGTTGCTTTTAAGTAGCCCTTTAGTAAATATCAATAAAGAATAAAACACCGTTATTTTCTCTCCAGGCATCCAGTGATCGGGCCGGCTTTCCTGATCAACAGAAGTCCACACGACGAGGTGACCATCGAAACCCACATCGGGGACGTGCTCGAGATGGTACATGGCATGGTAGCTGTTGGTAAGACCATCCTCGTTCTCATCGTCGATGGAGGATGCGACTACATTGTACAACATCAATCATCCCGTCAAAGAGATCTTGTATGGTCGACTCTTCAGAGACGCCAATCTTGATGGGCTCGTAGTCACGCCTTACTGTCCTGGACACTCATCCCTGAATCCCATCAAGCGGCTCTGGGGACAGGTTACCAAAGCACTGTCATCTGTGTACCTTTTTGATACACTACCAGGTAAGGCCCCATCCTCGCGTGCATCAGTTTTCCTGCCCCCCCCCCCCCCCCCCCCCCCCCCGGTTTGGTTTGTAGCACTTGCAACCCGTATGATAATATACACATTACACACAAACTATTATTGCATTATTTCGCAGTTTCGAAAAAATAGGCATATTGCGTTTTTTACGCAACCGTCCGTTGCACGGTGAAATCATTTGTGCCATTGTATTGTAGATGGGCCCAAACCACACCGTTATTTTTTTCGCTTTTTGCCTTGGGGCCCATTTTATGCACATGCATCTGCACAAGTGTACATGTATAGTGACCTGGTCAGGCCTGGATAGCGCTTTGACCTCGCCCTCGCGCACGCACGGCGGCGATTTTGATGCTCCCAACAAAAAAAAAACCGCACGGAGCACAGCATTACAAAATTTTCGGAAGCGATTTGTATCACCATTTATTGTGCTCACAGTGTTATTTTACTCACGTTCATATTTTGTTCATATATTTTATTTCATTTGATGACTTTGTACTTCTACTTGGCCAAAGGGAGCTTTAAAATGGCGTCCTGTGGCTTCATCCCCCACGGCCCGAAGCGTTATCCAGTTAGTATGTCTATGCCGTCTCGAAAAAAGATACGCGAACAAAAGTAAAATAAACATGTACACTTTGGGCAGACAATTGTCGTAACTTTTGTGTGTGTTTTTTGTTAACATAAACCGTCTTTTTCCTTTTTGATTATTTATTTTGCTACCAAAGCCAACTACCAGACGACCAGAAGCGTCAAAAGGAGCACCGTGTGTTCAACTTGGCCATGACTCGCCTTGAACGCTACCTGTCCGGTGTTAAATACTGTCAACAGCCGTTGGCAGTATCCCACGTCGAAAGTGGCACTGGGCGGGGCATTTATGGCGATTACCATGAGGTGAAAGACGTCATCAATGCCTCTTCAAAGAAGCTCCGGGAGAACCCAAGACTCCACCGGGAGAACATATTTCTTCACGAACACATGGACAAACGGAAGGGACAACTCATTCTTTCCAAATGCAAGAATCTGAGTTGCGCACACTGCTCATCGCGCCCATGCACCGCCAAGGATGAGGTGATGCAGCTTCTAAGTTCTATGGGATTTCCCAACACCGGAGCCGTCACCTTCTCTACCTGGCCACTTCGTGACCTTCCGTGAAGCCCTTGGAAGACCCTGTGGGCTTCCTGATGACCACATGCCCTCCGTCCGTGACAGCCCTTTTGGCCGCTGCGAGCAACCTGGCTGCCGGTTTATCTTCACGTCAGAGAAGGGACGGAGTGATCATCGCCTAAAAATCCACCCCTAGTAAAAAACGCAATAACCCCAAGTTATACATGTCCATTACTCCAACTTCAACTCCGTCCGCGCATCAAATAACAGTAACTTTGATATTTTTTTTGTATTTTCGTCATTGCATTTATTATTTAAACATGATATAGACCTCGTCAGTTAGATCTTTGCAGCAACATCATATAATATTCCTTGCCCGCTATCTGTTGCCATTCTTGTGATTGTAGAAAGCTATTGCAGACCCATTATATTAATGATATATTTGTTTAATACCAGATTAAAAGCCCGGAACACGTCTGCTGTCTTTGTTAAAAAGAGGACAACCAGGAACATTACTTTTTTTTGCCAACTTTATGCATACATGTATATTATATCGATTACTTGCCGAGGAAATAAATATACAAAAGAAATGTGTATCTTTGAAGGAGAATACAACCTTTGAGATTTAAATGGTCTTGCCAGTCCAGTATGTTGTCAGTCCCATATTTCTCCGACTGCAACTTGATCCAGTCATTAATATTCAAACGTCAGCTACTATTTTTATAAAATTTACTAATGTTTGGGCTTTAGAGATATTAACTTTTTTTGTGATTCCTAGTTGTTTTGGGATGGGCGCTAAAAGAAGGATACAGAATGGGTTTAATTTAGGCTCACATACAATGTACAAAAATGTACATGAACAGGTACTAGTCCGTCCATAGTTCCCTGTTGAAGACTTCCAAAGTACGAACGCAACGCCTTTGATATCTAGCCATTAATGTTTTCTTTACAAATCAACTATTTTCTGTCAAACATTTATGAATTATACACCACAATAAATATAATGGTATCAGCCTACCCTTCTGCAAACATCCAAAATGATGTTGATGAAATAGAATTACTTTATTTCAGTCCATGGGATTTTCGCAAGTTCCAGAAGAACCTATGATACATGCGCAAAGCGTCAAACAGTAACATCGACATTTTGACTCAGCTGCCTGCGCTATCGCATTTGCAATTTGATGTTGGTAATCTACGCTTAAACCAATAACGGGTACCAGCCAAAAAAAAAGAACAGCGGTAAATCTCGATCTGTACGTACGGTCCGGCTACATCATGCAATAACGTTTCACGTACATAATGTGTAGGCAGCAAATGCAGTCATGTATGCTAGTACGTACGTACGTGTGTTTCGAATAATATATATTTGTATGATGACTGGAACATACACCGCTGTATGTCATGTATACCAGCGTGGCACAGAGTGCGGGTACTGTACAGGCACGCAGCCGGCCACGGTCTGCACTGCCGGCTGGCTGGCCACGCAAGCTTGCAAAATGGCGATATCATGTCAGCTTTCGTCATGTCACTTTTGTCTTTCCTGTATTGCCTGTGTCTCGTTTTATTTTTGTTTCTCTGTTGTTATTGTGGTTAGTAAGGGCTGTTTCTCACAAGCCTCAGCTTACTCTAAAGGCCTTTTCACACTGTCCAAAATCTCCGGGTTGGAACCGGTTCCAACCCCGAGATTTTTTTCAACCCTTTTCCCACTTCTAAAATTTCAACCCGGTTCCGACCCGGGTAGCGTGCTCTAGCCGGATCGAAATCAACCCTGGGAGGGACCAGGGTTGAAAATCTCAACCCGGATCGAAATTGCATTTTTCGGCGTGAACCGTGTCGAAAATGATAGTGTGAACCGCTCCGGGTTGACTCACTCACGGCCGATCCGTGTTGAGTTGAGGCCGACATTTTACCGAAAATCTGACACGCCGTGCATAATATTTCCCTCCACCACTATCACCGTCACAAACACCGATCCCGAAACAATCGCTCCCTAATTATCATCCAATAATGGTGTATGGAGCATCCCTTACCGAGTCTGGGCTTGTGTTAGGTCCGTATTAAAGCCTCGTGTGCGCAGCAGCCGCGTGCGTCGCAATGCATTATGGGATTGAGAAAATCATCGCAGCGCCCTGTGCCGAATGCGATCCGTGTCGAGAATTTGTAGTGTGAATTCACAGGGGCCGTAGCCGGATTGAACGTTACACGGTTCACATAGCGGCCGTTCCCGTAAAGGACAGTGTGAACGTCGCGTCTGTCCGATCCGTGTCGAAAAATACTCGGGCTGAACCGGGTTGGATCCGGGTAGGTTTCAACACGGTTCGAAACGGAGATAGTGTGAAAAGGCCTTAACAGCCCCATACTTGTATTTTCTCCTATACATAATCCAAACTTATATATTAATCACCGACTCTGCTTCCAATGCATGCTTTGCTAAATAAAGGCCTCCAAGGCCAAGTCCACCATACCAGGCCTGCAGGACCAAGTCCCCCAAAATCCACCGAAATGGGGGATGGATTTTGATGGATGATTGATGGGGCCGTTTGGTGTAGGATACTGTGATTCAATCCGGAAAGAATGTTGCAACCTGACGTTGCTTTTTCCTTCATATATCATCTCATATATCGGACTGAGAAACATTTCCAATTTTGTTAGGAAATACTTTTAAAAAATTCTTGACTCTCCATAGACTTTATACACAACCGCCCAAGTAGCATCAGGTTGCAACATTCTTTCCTTCAATCCCTCAGGAAATCAAATTGAAAGATGGCAAAGCTCTTCATTTACCTTAAGTATAAAAGAATTGACCTATCGCAGTAGAATCGCATTATATTCGCGTCAACGCAGCTTGTGAAATATTGTCGAATTACATGATATACAAATGGACGCGGAACGCGCAACGTAACATCTGAGACAAACAAAAATTAGTGTACAAAAATTCCATAGGGTTGTCTAAGGGGCGTGGCTAACTCATCAAAACATCAAAAGTCAAGTAGCTATTGCCTTAATGCAAAAACTGAGCATGGACGAACACTTGCAAAGACAAGATAAAGCTAGATAGTTCTAGATATTGGAATCCTGGCTGTGAAGCTGCTGTCTGTTTTGATCAGGACTTGTCTTTCCAAGTAGATAAAAATTGGGTTTGATGTCCTGTTGCCATGGTGCTAAACTCGGTGTGAGGTATATACAATGTATATGATGAAGACAAAAGCAGTGGAAGCAGTGATTGCGTCAGAATGGCCATTGAAAGAAGGCTGATCCATAAAAAAAAAATAGAACTAGACTTACCAGCTTTGAAGGAAGGAAATTTAGCAGGGGATTGGGCTGAGTTACATGCACCAAACCTGATCTGAGTCATGGGCTGGGAAGGCTGCTACATCAGAACAGGACTTGACTAGCATACATGCACATGTAGCGAGGGACTTGTATTCAGCAACATATGAAGGCCTGTGCTTCAAACTCAGTCTGATCTGAAATCAGAAATATATTAAACTAAACCAATTAAAATAAAGATAAACAACACACAAAGATACAGTTGCACATAAATAACAGTGTGTACATGAGGTACACACCATTACAAGTTCAAGCCTGAGAGTCATGGATTTTCATTACAGCGTAACATTTTGTCTTTGCCTATTTAAGAAGTCTTGTCTGTGTTGCACCACAACTATGCCATGTACGGTCCCAATTTCATCCTGCCCGACGTCATGATGTAATAGCTGCCACTCAATATGGTTCATAATATCTCTGCATGGTTAGACATCTAGCAACACGTCAACACACCTGTAGTTTAAGGGTGCAATACACACTTCAAACAAATTGCTCCCAAAAGGAGATTTTGGGGAGCTGTTACCATATTTGGCATTTGGTATCCCAATAGGCCTGTGAATTTAGAACAAAGCATTCATAGGCTCACTTGTTCAGACCAGAGAACAAACATCAATTAAAATTCTGAACCACATTCTAGATGGAAATAGTGATTACAGCGATAGTGATCTTACCGATTCTGAATTGGCTGATGGTGATGGTGAAGTCTGTGTTAACAGAGATGAAGATGATGCATGCAGACGATGATGCAAGCAACGATGACTAAAGTAGAGATCACTGGTGTAGTTGGGACAAACATCCATCCCATTCAAACACGCACGCAGCTTGCCTGCAAACAAATCACATACATAGATTAAGATTTTCAAAGGAGATTATTTTTTCGTCTGTAGTGCCTTGCTAGAACAAACGTTTACCTCAAATATCACAGTAAGTGAAATCCCACGAAGCTCTAAGCATTCCCGCTTGTTAGCTTTTGAGTTATCAGCTTGTTACAAAGCCAGATAAAATGTTTACTTTGTCGCGATTAACCAAGTGTATAGTGACCCCTTTCAAAACGTTCTCAAATTGTAATAAGAAAACAATTTTCTTACATGTTGGATATCTGGCTAGGTTGTACATAATAAAGTTTTGTGAGAATTTTGCAAAAAGAGTTTTAGAAGAACTTTTTTTTATGTTCATTTGTTGATTTGGCAAATACCGCACAGATGCCAATTGAACAAAGCACAACAGCTGTCGATGTCCTGCTCAGCATAAATAATCAAGTTTTGATTGGCTGATCAGCACAAGCACATAATAACCACAACACAGCCATGACAGTATAGCAGCACTGGACTTTTTTTCTGAAGAAGCCACCAAAATCATCAATATTTTTCATATTTAGTAACTTTTTTTCTGTTTCAAGTCGGTCATTAGCTTTGTGAATGACTACCGCATGTATGAGGTACCGGTATGTTTAATGGAATCTGGGTTGGGATTCTACAGGGAAAAGGGACCACTTTTGTCATGTTTGCGGAGTCTGTTTTTTAGGGACTCTCACAATCTCACATTTACAACGTAGTTTTGTCTCCAGCATTACATGTCCAATTCCTGATGATCATGTCACTCAGCTGGAGTTACTCAAGCTGGAACAGGGTCCACCTCATACCCCTTTCATGGTTGATCAAACAGTTCTTAGACTAAAAACTGCTCCATGGCGACCAATCCAGGGTGACCAATCAAAGTGCCCTGTGATTGGTCTGTCTGATGCCAGTCAATTTTCTTCTGAATTCAAAATGGCAGCCTCTAACAAGGCGTTTGTGACAAGGATGTTTCCCGAATTGAAGTTGGAATTTCTCTTTTCTTCCCAAAGGTCTGTGAACCTAACCACAACCATTTGTATTTTCAATTCCCACTAAAGCCTACAGGGGCGCGTCAGGCAGTTTGAAGACTGTTTTGGGATGAAATCTGAAGATTTTGATAGGGGTTTTTACAAGTGAAAATGGTGAAAAGAGGTTATTGATACTGCCATGTAATTTATAATCCTAGGACCCTACTATGACCTGACCATCTCCAAATGTTAAAAACGGCGATTCGTAGAGTCCTAGTTACTCGGACTACCGTAGTTCCAGCGCTCCACTCAGTAGAGCTACATGTAGTCCAAGTAACTTGGACCCAACTTATCGCCTTAACATTCGGACATGGTCTGGCGATAGTGGGGTCTAAGCTAATCCTTATATGCCGAGCAACACAATTCTGTCATTGACCCAAGAACCCAACATTGCCCAACAAAAACATCAGATTTCACCCTCAAAACGGCCTCCAAATGACTAGATACGCCACCTGAGGTACAAGTAGACATCGATAATTAAGATGGTTGTACTGAAGTTTACTTACGATCCGGATGAAAAGTGAAATTTCCCGTTCAATTCTGAGAGCTCCCCTCGCGATCATGAGCACGTTAAATTTCCGATTCGCATTAATGTTTTAACGACGCAATGTGGTCTTCTTGCCCAGCGTACATTCGATGGTTCCCGTATCCCGAGTGCGATTCCGTTACCGAGCGCGCGCGATGCATCGATTATGATAGTGAGTAGACTGGATCATGTTTGTAAATACGAGTGCATTTCGAACGGTAAAAGTCAAAGGCTCAAGGCTAAAAAGTCATAACAGCTCAGGTCGCTAAAAAGATTTCTTTTAAAGGCTATCGCAGAAAAAGTCAAAGGGGGGGGGGGCCGATTAAAAGGGCGATAAGTTGGGACAAAGTTACTCGGACTTAGCTCTACTGATTGGAGCATTGAACTACGGTACCCTCCGTACAAACGCTTCACCGATTTGGCATACTTTGGAGACAGGTACACGGTCGACATGACGGTATGCATTTTGTGCATGCCCTCGCGAGGAAAAAAGGGCCCAAAAAATCTGATAAAGAAAATACAAATTTTTAAGTCCAAACCAACCCTGTTGCCAGCTACGCGGCTACAAAGTGGGAGTCCCCTTGATATGCATGAGAACGAAGCAACACAAAAGGAATGGGAGTTGCTTAGCTCTACTGAGTGGAGCGTTGAACTAAGGTAACCTCCGTACAAACGCTCCACCGATTTGGCATACTTTGGTGACAGGTACACGGTCGACATGACGGTATGCATTTTGTGCATGCCCTTGCGAGGAAAAAAGGCCCCCCCAAAAAATGATTAAGAGAATACAAATGAGTAAGACAGTAACCCTGGATAAATCCACACATTCATGACATTCCATAAGACCCCTTAAATTGTTCCAAACAACCGGTAATTTTGAAAAAAAAAATAAAAAATAGTCTGAACTTACCGCTCACAATTACTTGTAAATGTGTCTGCCGAGTTGTACAGTCCATTTCACTGACATGACTGATGCATAATTCATCGCGCGCGTGTGTGACGTCACCATTGAAGAAAACAAGTTGCGCTTACTCAACGACTGTTTCATGTAGTCATATGTGCCCCGCGCCGTCTGACTGTGTGGGCTTTTGGCACGGGACACATATGACTACATAAAACAGTCGTTGATTAAGCGCAACTTGTTTTTCTTCCATCGAGCAACGATGGTGACGTCACGTCAGACGCCCTCATTCGGCAAGTCGGAGCAAGGTCTGAGCTTCACGGCAAACACATTGAGCTGTAAGTTTTCTGACTATTTTGCTGTTTTTTTTCTTCAAAATGTCCGCTGTTTGGGAACAATTTAAGGGGTCTTATGGAATGTCATGAATGTGTGGATCTATCCAGGGTTACTGTCTTTCTCATTTGTACCGGGTTTTTTTTGGCGTCTTTTTGTCCTCGGTGGGTATGTACACTATCATGCTACTGTGAAGCCGTCATTAAAGTATGCCAAATCGGTGGAGCGTTTGTACGGAGGGTATCGTAGTTCAACGCTCCACTCAGTAGAGCTAACTCGGACTAAGGCCCAAAAAAAAAAAAGTCTCCGGTTTCTGGTATGCGCGCGCGTCGCGGTAGCCATGCACGTCAGCAAAATGAAAAAGGTTTTTTTCAATGAAAGATGATGTCTCAAAACCGCCAAACTGACTGGTTTGACTGGAATCCTGCTGCTGCACAATTTTATCGTGTTTTTAGATTGGGTTATGGTCGAGAATAAGCTGCATGTGGCCTCTCTGGACTCCCATATATTTGCACTAAGTTTAGTAAAATCAGGTAAAAAAAAAAAAAAAGCCGCGTTGCCGCACCACTTTTTGGGCAAGCTCCATACCAGAAACCGGAGACTTTTTTTTTTGGCCTAAGCTACTTGTAAGTTGTAGGGAAAAAATGTTGCAACCTGACGCCACTTTTTTCTTTATATATCATCTCAATGAAGGTCATTCATTCCAAAAATGATGATGAGACATGAATCTGGGACTGAGAAATATTTCCACTTTTGTTAAGAAATACAAAATTTTCTAGACTCTTCATAGACTTTGTACACAATCGCGGAAGTGGCATCAGGTTGCAACATTTTTTTCTTAATTACAAAGTATTTTAGGATAAACTGTAGACATACAACTGATTATACCTTCAGTTTCAGGGATTTTAATAGAAAGCTGTAACTAGTTTAAGACTTTTGATTACCCCATATTCCGACATCACGAAGAATCATTCAATTTAAAGCATGGCCCACTCGTCAACCGTCACTCAGCATGGTCAGCACGCCGTCTTGTGCTCCGAATGTAACACGTGTATCTCAACATGCACGTGCAGTTCGGTTCTTCAGACAGCTCCATGTCAATGTGCGAACTGGTTTAGTCGACCTTTACAAAAGTGACACTATCAAGTATTTAGACAACCATACAAGAATGTAACTCATAAGCAAAACTCATGTCTGCATCTTTAAATTTCCAGCTCAATTTAAGTTAGAAAACAAAAATTTTCATGGACGATCGACGATTTGTTATTTGCTGAATTTGCAACTATTTTGTTTATGGTCGATCTAAAACTTTCAATAGCGCCACCACTTGACCGGGGGGGGCTGGTCTGTGGAAAATTGCGGCTCGGGCTGCACATGCACATCCTAGGACTTATAGGGGCCACCTGGGGGCTGCACACATTTCCAAAGGGTGTAATTGCGTATAATTATGGAAGTCTTTTCATTATTATTGCGAAAATGACAAGTAGCAGTTGAAAAGGTGCGCACATTAGAAGGCAGCAGGAATTAAGTCGAAGGGAAGGCGTTAAGCCCTGCCCCTCTCCACGCACGCATGTTTCTTGAGGTGTGTGTGTGTGTGGGGGGGGGGTCTTCAACATTTACAGGTACTTTACAGGTCCTCCTCTGATATTAGGCCTTTGCATAGGCCTCTCTCATCAGATCTTCATAACTCTGGTTAAATTTGTATTTGTGCATGTAAGTGGGGGTCGGCGCTTCAAAGTCAAACTTGAATGGTTGAGATGCCCAGAGCTTGTCTAATCGAGCCTCAAAAGACTTGACACTAGATGATGTAACAACAAAGTTGAGGAGTCTATTCCATACGTCTACTGATCAGTGCACGAAGGAGAATTTCCTTACATCTAACCGGGTTCTAATCTTGGCTACTTTGTATTGATGACCCCTTATGCAGTTAGTGTTGGGTTGGATGAAGTTTGTTACATCTGAGTCGTATTTCCCTGTGAGTATAGTTTGAATATATCTCGATCAGGTCCCCTCTTGACCGTCTGTATTCTAATAATGAAAATTATGATTTTCCCGCAGGAAAATTGGGCCGAATACATTAAAAAAAAATAGCAAAATACCAATTGCTTCTAAGCAGAGGCAACGAGCAAAAGTGAAAGATATAGTAGGCCTGCCAAAATGTGTTCTCTACAAAACAATTTCACCGTCCTTTGGTAATAGCTGGCATCCATGCGAGATAAATTGTTTGAACCTTAACTAAGGCCAAAAAAAAAGTATCCGGTTTCTGGTATGGAGCTTGTCCAAAAAGTGGTGCGGCGACGCGGCTTTCTTTCTTTTTTTACCCGACTTTTTTGCTTCAAATTTGCTTCAAATGTCGGCTGATGACTGCAAATGGTGCCCGACTAAACTTAGTGCAAATATATGGGAGTCCAGAAAGGCCACATAAAGCTTATTCTCAATCGTAACCCCATCTAAAAACACGTTGAAATTGCGCAGCAGCAGAATTCCAGTCAAACCAGTGAGTTTGGCGGTTTTGTGACATCATCTTTCATTGAAAAAAAAACTTTTTTCATTTTGCCGACGCGCATGACTACGGTGACGCGCGCGCATACCAGAAACCGGAGACTTTTTTTTTTGGCCTGGTGGATGCAGTACTAAAGGGAATGTACAACATTTGCTTTTGCTGCAATTTTCAGCAATAAATGGATTTCGAGGATAAATAGGGCCTACGTTATAAAAAAAAATATTGTAAAACTGACTTGCTTCACGTTTTGGGTTCGGAAAACCCATCATGTTCTTGTAGTCTGGTTCCCTACCCCACTTAAGATGAAACGGTAACAATTTATAGACTTTGGGGAATTGTAAGGTCAGATAATTAGTCTAGCAGGCTTGTACTCATTCACAGGTGTGTATTGGAAATGCAAAAAAAATAAAATTTGAAAAAGTAGGAGCAGTTTTTGAGAGAAAAAGGTCAATTTTCTCCAACGCTGGTCGGCCGACCAGCGCTGGAAAAATACAAGTTTTCTTGAAAATTTCAACACACCAGGAGCCACGATTGTACAGGATGCTTTGGACAGCTGGCCACTCTCTAACAATCCAGTAAGGTATTTCGTGATAATTTGATCATTTCGTATACTTTCAAATGTATCTTAACAGATATTCTAACCCAAACAATTGGGTAAAGCACAACACAGTTTTGGGTAATTGCAGTTTTCACCCTTGATTGGGTAAAATTAACCAAGTCTATTTTTCAGTGTGCATAAATCGTTAATACCTGCCGTGTAATATGTTTTCCCCATATTTGGATATATACATATATGTATTTTATTTAGTTGACAATGTTATTTTGGTGATTCTACTTACACATTCTCACTTCAGTAACATTTTCTAAAGCATTATAGGCCTAGGTGACTGCATCATTTTGAGGACATAATAGGCCTGTACGATCCGTAATGGCTACCATACTCAAAACATGCGCGCGCATTTACCTTTTCTCCCGATATATTCAAGAAGTTTTGCCAAACCCAAGGGCGGATCCAGGGGGGGGGGGCCAAAGGGGGCCATGGCCCCCCCCCCCCCCCAAACGAAACCAATTTTTTTTTTTTTTATGTGACATCGCAAAAAAGGCAGGCAATGAGTACACCACCATCTTTTCCTCAAAAAACATTGGTTAAAGTGGTCAGAAATTGCCTCAGATCGCACCACAGAGCATCTAGAATCCAAATTTTTTTCGGGGCCCTTAAGCGGGCCCCGAACCCCACGCCGTAATTTTTGGACCCACTTTTTTGGAGGACCAAAATTTTTTGGGGCCCCCCCCCCAAAATTGTGTTCTGGATTCGCCCTTGGCCAAACCTCAGTATAATGAGCTTCAAATTCACCAGGTTGCTTACTGGCACAATTACCCTATTAAAACCTTATGGAATATCATGTGAACAATGGTAACGTTGTGATATTTAGCCCAGCAAACAAACACGGGGAAAGCGAGGTGTCTGTAATAAGTGAAGGGTTGCCGTTCCAGCCTTGAAACCCTGAACTTCAATTGCACAAACGAGAGAAACTCCTTTCAGTTTGTAGTGACATATCGCCCTCCATGCCCTCCTTTTAGGCTCCTTAGCTATAATTAAGACTTCAGACTTTTTGGTTCAGTTTGAGAAATTCCTTGATGAACGCCGGTCCATCGATCGTGCCATGGGGACTTCAACTTTACATGTTGATACTACGGACAAAGGTGACGTAAAGCAGTTTCTCTTGACTCTCTCTCCAGCTATGCCTCTGGGTTTCACCATGGAACACATTACTGGCCCCACTACACAATTACAAACATGGCTACGGTACACTCCTGATTTATTGATCTCTCGTTTCGATGATGACATAGGCCTAGTTCAAGAATGGCATGTTCCTTTCTCTACCCATCACATTATCAAGTGCATATTAATAAGAAACCGCCTCCCGGCCATGAAGGTAAAAACGTCTCGTGATCAGGAAAGATCAACCGAGAGTTGTTCCAGAATCTTCAGGTTGAGCGTCTCAGACTGATCATCCGAAACTTCTGTCTGAAACAACGAGTCCATCACTACACCCGTAGTGCTTAATGAGATCTGCCCAGTGTCACCAGTTTGCACAGTCAAGTATGACTCAAGGGCGGATCCAGAACGCAATTTTGGGGGGCCCAAAAAAAATTGGTCCCCCAAAAAGTGGTTAAAGAAAGATTACGGCGTGGGGTTCGGGCCCGCTTAAGGGCCCCGAAAATTTTTGGGATTCTAGATGCTCTGTGGTGCATTCTGAGGCAATTTCTGACCACTTTAACCAATGTTTTTTTTAGGAAAAGATGGTGGTGTACTCATTGCCTGCCTTTATTGCGATGTCACACACACACACACACCAATTGGTTTCGTGTTTTGTTTTTTTTTTGGGGGGGGGGGCATGGCCCCCTTTGCCCCCCCCCCGGATCCGCCCTTGGTATGACTGCACCATAAAGAAAGACGAACCCGTGGACGAGCGCAAATTTGGCGCAAAGGTCGTTTGGACACAGCTCTGACTATGATGCGTTTGACGACGCATTTCTCAATGTACAAAAAAAAGCGTATACTCGGAATTCTCCAGCGCCCGTTCCAATGACATGTAGGAATACGGGGTCTTCTGAACTTGGCACCGGCCCGTCCAAAGGTTGTGACTGAAACTGATCTGCACTTGTTTTTGTCCTTCGTTGATAAAGTTGAGCCAATTAGGCCCCCCAAAAAAGTCTCCGGTTTCTGGTATGGAGCTTGCCCAAAAAGTGGTGCGGCGACGCGGCTTTTTTTTTTTACCTGATTTTTTGGCTTCCAACGTGTGCTGATGACTGCAAATGGTGCCCGACTAAACTTAGTGCAAATATATGGGAGTCCAGAGAGGCCACATACAGCTTATTCTCGACCATAACTTAATCTAAAACACGTTAAAATTGTGCAGCAGCAGGATTCCAGTCAAACCAGTCAGTTTGGCGGTTTTGAGACATCATCTTTCATTGAATTTTTTTTTTTTCATTTTGCCGACGCGCATGGCTACGGCGACGCGCGCGCATAGCAGAAACCGGAGCCTTTTTTTTGTGGCCTTAGATTGATAAAGTTGAGCCAATTAGATTGAAGGTTGCACCTGAAAGTTCACCATTATGATGTAGGAGCAGCGGCACGGCAGGGGCGGCGGAACCGGGGGGGGGAGGGTTGGCACTTGCACCCCAGATTTTCCAAGGTCAACAAAAGTGCCTCTTTCGTGGTTATAAAAATGTGTGCCCCCTCGAGATGACAACAAAGCTGCCCCTCAAACGCACACATGAAAGCAAATAAAATTATGATCCGTCCAGCGCTAAATTGTCTCCTCTCTTGTAATGGAAAACTTCCCCTAAAAACACTAATGTCCTAGCCTGTCGCATTAACAAGATTGTGCACCTTCTCGAGATGGAAAACCACCCCTCGAAAAAGCACAAAATTGTGCCCCTCTCGAGATAAAAAATCGGGCCATCAAAAACAAATAATGCCATATTTTCAATGGGGAGCGCCAATAAAATCCTAAAATCATTCA